GGCTGAGGCCAAACCACGACACACACATAATGCCCCACATGCCCTTTACGGCAAGGGAGCTTGAGCAATCATTCCCTGCTCCACGCACACTCCAGCCACACATGATTTTATTATTCCCCATCGCACCTCCCTCAGTCATCTCTTCCCCCAGATGGAAGAGAACCAGTTTATGTAATTGTTCCTTGTATAGAAACTGCTTCATACCTTTAATTATTCTTGCCACCCCTCTCTGCACTTCCCCAGCATGCCTTTAAAAGGGTGCCAGATGTGCTGGCAGACAGGCTGTGAAGGAGGAGCAGTTTTGGTTAAGACCCCAGCCCAGGAAAAGGATGAAGAGACCAATGCTATGACCAAACTACAGGGGAAGGACAAGCTGTGACCCCAGAAATTACTTCAAAATGCCCCATTCAAACACCTCCTCCATAAAGAGAAGCATACAGAGGTTACAAAAGCACCCTCTAATCATGACAAACATGATATTAACAGCCTCAACGGTTTGCATCACCTCTCATCTTCACCCATGAGCTGCAGCATCTGCAGGACCAGCTGCTTCCCCCCCTTGGTCTCAGTGACAGATCTGCAGGCAGGATGTTGTCCCAAGACAGATCATTGCTCTGCATCAATATGGTACCCTCACAGGGGCAAGAGACAGCCTTGTTTCTCAAGACAGGCAGGTTTCCTAGGACAAGAACAAGGACATTGGGTCCAGACAGCTCCACCAGCCAGGAGCCACCTCACTCTAGGTCTAACCCTGACCAGGACGCCACAGAAATCAAGGAAGCAACTCACATGGCAAAAGCCCAAGCACACTTCTCCCTCAGAAGGGGATGCGTGATGGGGCTTTGCAGAAGAACAATGTTTGGCTATGTAGCTTCACTGCTAGCTGATCACAGCTGCAGGCACTGCTGCTGCAGAGCTGGGTCACACCAAGGCAAACAGATAAGGAGTGGCTTTAAACACAGCCCTTAAGCCTCACACAGGACCGAGGCTTTCAGGGGGACCAAATGGCTTTTTCCTGATGAAAAAGGATACCCCGAAGCAAGTCCTTGCACCATTCTAGGGCTAAAGCACCTCAACTGACACCAAGACAGGGAAGGCTCTGCTACAGAAACAGAACGAGCCTCAGCACATTGGGTGTTTGATCTGGGTATGGCACTGTCCCTGGGAACCAGACACCCTCAGACTGCCCCACATGATGGCTCCACAGTGCTCACTCTGCCTCCCATCCCAGCCAGTCCCACGTGAAGCAAGACACTGCCTTAGCACAGGCAGTTTTCAGGAAGTCCACACTGTCCTCCAACCTCACCAGCACAGCCAGGCTGCAGGAGCACACCTTGTATCAGGGAA